TAGGGAAGTTCTGATTTCACTCAGGCTTGACAAAGTCTTCCTTTCTTCTCAGAAATCCTAGAAAACAGAAAACAACAGGAAGATGTCTTGTTGAGACAGACTCCTTTCAACTTGACCATGAATCAAACTAGGAAGAAAAGTTCTTCAGATGGAGAAACTAAACCCCAGACTTCATTTGTCGACAAATTCCTCAGGGGCTCAAAACTCAGGTCCTCCAAAGCTGAAAGCAAAAGCGAGAATAATGACCTAAAGACAATTGATGTCCAACACAGCGATGAGACACGGAACACTGCCACCTTAGACACTGGTAAACTTCTGACTGCTATTATTTATTTTTTAGGATAATGTTATCTCCTAAAGAGATCACTGGGTTAAACTAAACCTAATAGGAGTCTCTGTTCTAAACATTTACTATGTTACTTAAATACTTTAAATAGTTTGTTAATTTTACTTTTAAAATATTAAAAGTACTATACAAAAGTGCAGAGAAAAGACCTAATTTCTTTTTTATTCTAACACAAATGATCATTTCTTCAAGGTTTTCAGTCTTTTGTTCATATACATGCATTTATGTTCAGTCAGCCTGTCAACAACCATTGATCGAGCGACTTCTTACGTGCCTGCCACTGTATTTTGTAAGTGTTCCAAATATAACCATGAAAAACAGGATTTTACGTAAACAAAGAATCAAATGCAAATACAATTTCAGTGTTGATAAGTGATAAGAAAAGGAAAGCAGAGTAAGTAGAGAATGATGGGATAGAAGTGCTATTTTAGATGGGATTAGAGGAAAGAAGTCTCTCATTTAGTGGCTCTGAGGCAGAGATCTGAATAAAGTCAGCCATGTAGAATGAACGAATAAAGCCAGGCACATAGCTAGCTATTTGTGGGAATAGCTTTCCAGGCAAAGGGAACTGTAAATGCAAAGACCCAATGTGAGACTGAGCCTGGAGTATTTGAGGGAGAGCCAGGAGGTCTGGGATGCTGAGGCAGGATGAGATGGGGAGAGGGAAGGTAGTAGGAGACAAGTCAGAGAGGTGGGTGGGGCCAGAACAGGCATCTTTTGCACAGTCATAGTAGCTTCCAAATCTCTCTTGAGTTCTCATGGAGCAGTGATCTTACTTCTGGAACATATTATTATACTGCTCAAATCCCACATTCCTTCATGATGTTTCTATGCATAATTTGAACAGTTGCACAACAATCCATTACATGCATGTGCCATAATTACTTAATTAGTTTCTTTTTTTTTGCCCTTCAGTGAATATTTTTGGCTTTCCCTCTCCCTTAATTCCCTGCTTCATGGAATTTCAGCTATTGTTTTAGTATAAATTCCCAGAACAAAGATTACAAGTTCAAGAGTTATGAAAGTAAACATTGCCACATCTCTCTCCAAAGTTATGTCTCACATACAATGCCATTAATTTATTATTAGTTGGATTAAATGTATTTTTAAGACACTTTAAACTTTTTATACAAACAGACAAAAGTAAAGAGGATAGTATAAGGTATCTCCATGATCACATCTCTCTAACAATTATCAACCCATGGCCAGTCTTGTTTCATTTATACCTACCCTCATTTCCATCAGATTATTTGCATTAAATATCAAAAATAATATCATGTTTCCTGAAAGTAGATTAAATGTATGTTAAATATATTTTTATAAATAGGAAGTTAAAGTATACCTTGAAAGGAATACAATCTCTATCAGAAAATTGTTGATATTCGTTTTAAAGTATGATTTGGAGCTTCAGGAATGTAGTTAATGACTACCTGGAACCATGATTAAATTAATGGTGTAAGACCAGGCAGCTGGTTACCCCTTTTGGGCAACACTGGCAGCTCAAGCCATTGGTGGCTTCTCTATTTCCATTTCCCCCAAAATACAATGGCTCCTGGTGTCATGTTAGTTCTGCCTCCCCGTGGCACTCAGACCTGGTCTCTCCTCTCCGTTGCTATTCTGATTCTCATTGTCAATTGCCTGGACCACTGTGACAACTTCCTGACTGGTTTCTCTGCTTCTAGTCTTGTTCTTTTGCCAGCCTGTCCTCCATACTGCCACCAGATATTCTTTCTAAACCACAGATATGATGGCACCTCTTACCTGCTTAAAATTCTTTACTGAGTCCCTCTTGCTTTGAAGAGAAAGTCTACACTCCCAAGCATGGTCTTCAAGGTACTCGTGATCAGTTGGATATTTCTTCATGACCTTTGCCTTCTCCCAACCTCAAGTTCATCCTCTACTCCTAACATTCTGATTTACTTGTAGTTTCCTAAACTGGCCGTATTCCCTGAGTGGTTCCCTATGCCTAGAAAAACCTTTCCTTGTGCCACTATCCTTCCTCTGCATCTCTCCCCTGTTTATCCCTCCCTCATATCCACCCACCAGGCTTGACTCCCACTCCTCCTTTAGGGTGTAATTCATGTACCACTTTCTCTCGGAAGCTTGCCGAGTCGTATCCACTGGACTGGAGGTACATACTGTCACTACCGCGTGCTACCATGCACCCTATGCATGCCTCCACCATTGCATTTCTCCTCTGTATTGGGACAGTGACTTACTTTCTTGTCTGTCTCCTCCATTAGACAGGTAGCTCCTTGAAAACAGGAACTCGTTATCTTTGTTCTCTGTACAACACCATCCATGTTAAAAACATCTAAGAATGTTTTATGAAAGCATTGAGATTCTCAATCATAAGCAACAGAAACTAACCCTTACAGATTTAAGTTGGAAAACAACTTAATGAGAAGATACTGTTTGGCTCACAGAATCACCTAGACAAGCAAGAACTTGGTTCAGAGGTAATGCAGCCAGGAAAAGGCCCAAATCACTCCATAAAACTGCTCATGTGTGATCACAAAGTACCATCCCTCCCGCTTCAGCCAACCTGTAGCAGCTCTGACTCACTGGTTTTATATATTGAACTGTGACATAAGATATTCTTCAAAGAAAAGGCTTCACAGATTTAAAAAAATGAAATACATGGTCTGTGAGGAGTCTCACAAGTTGGTACTCATGTTCATATGTAGATATTTTCAGGGGTCTCGCAAGTTGGTACTCATGTTCATATGTAGATATTTTGATAAAGATTTATCATGTGGATTTATTTTGGTAATTGAGGAACCATAAAGCTAATATTCATTCATTCACTCATTCATTCATTTATTCATTCAATTATTTGTTCATTCAACAAATATTTATCAAGTATGGCTCATGTAAAAGGCACTGCAGAGTTCCATCCTCCTAAGAGGCCCCAGTAAATTTAAGTAACTATAAAGGAACTGGGCAAAAATTATAATCTCCATTTCATAGATGTATAAACCAAGGCTTAGAGAAGTTAAGTAACTTGCTCACCAGATGGACCCATGATTTCAGCCAGATCTTCTAAAATGTGCTCTCTTGGACTTGCCAGTCAAATCACATACTACAGATCATCCAAGTAGGATGTGGTCCGAGAAGAGATTTCTGAATTCGTCAAGTGATAGGTCATTGTTGGTGACCTTTGAGAAACAATTCATTTGGATAGGTGATTGTGGCAACCAGAATATAGAGGGTTAATTGGTAAATGTGATGAAGAAGTGGAGAGAGCAAATACAACCACTCTTT